CACTCTCAACATTCCATTCCCACGACAACCAACATTCCAAAGAACTGTGTGCAAAACTACAGCATCATCTCCATAGTTTCAAAAGAGCAATGCATACATAACTACAAGCAACCACAGCAGCTGAGAGAGAGAAATACAACACCAACATGTCTGGACGAAATGGCAGAATTTGTTTCACAGACTGTTGCCGTTTAACTCTCAACACATCTCCATTTGGATTTTTATAAAACGGTACACATCAGTGCAACGGAGTCTATGACTCATGCTGTGTTGCTTTCAAATTCAGGAAGTCAGAAAAAAAAAGTGCAATAGCAAAAACACTTAAGACTTGTGTGGAAATCCAAAACCTGTAAGATTAAGGTACGACAACACCTAAAGAGATGCACGCGCAATACAATTATGAAACATTCATATAGCAATTGAATGCATAATGCAGAAACAAGGCAAAGTTCATACTGTGACAACAAAACCCATTTTGAAACAGTCTGCAGAGATAGTTGTGCAAAACTTTCTATGTCATCTTCCAAGCACTGGCCAACAGAATATTAAAAGGGTCATAATTCTGTAATGTCAAATAGGGAATCTCACACTTCTGATTTTGAATGGAACGCGGCATAAGACAAAATACAAGGCATAACCGTTCAGTCCAGATATTTACTGAACAAGAGCCAGAGCTTCGACAACAACTTCAACCCAACTCACCTCTTTGAGCGTGAAGATGAGGGTTTGGTCATTTCTGAGGAGCAACCAGGCTGAAAAAAAGAAAAGAAAAACAAAAAAACATTTCATTTCATTTCCAGTCTTATAGTGGTTTTGCATAAATCAAGCACAAAGCTCACAGAAACATCTCTTCGCCAAAAAAAACAAACTGATTATAATAACCCAAATTTAGAAATCATAAATATTGCCGCGATAAGCTTTCAGGGTATGGAATAAAATGGATGTGCTGGGTATCAATTTAATTTCCTTTTTAATTTAAATTAATTTAATTTGTCTTTTATAAACTTCCTGAAGAAACTTTTGAAGCAAACTGAAAATCAAAGCATGAACATGAGTCGGGTAATTGATGCTTTATTCATGCACTATATCATTCTCGCACTAT